ATTTTAGGGCCATAAGGAATACCCTATAGCAGTGGTGGCGAACCTATGGCACGTGTGCCACAGTGGGCACACAGAGCCCTCTCTGTCGGCACGCGAGCCAAGTCACCCCAGCGTCGCCCCAGCAGCCGAGCATCAGATAACAGCGCACATAGGGGCGCTATGCTCGGAAAGGAAAGGAGCACATAGCGTGGGCTCATGCTCGGAAAGGAGTAGTGGCGCTGGCTGATGACACATTAGCCGTGACTCGTCCAAGCTTTTGCATGGCCGGTCAGTGCGCTGCCATGGATATATATATTTGCTTGGACTGGCTGTGAGTTTTAATGCATTCGTTTTTATTAACACGAGATTTTAGCCTTGAGTTTTCTTCTGAAAAATTGAAGTTTAATAGCTAAGATTTAGCAAAGAGATGTTCTAATTAAGAGACTGACAACATTCTTTTAATGTTGTGCTGTCCTCCTGGCATATTTGAATCTGCAACATCATATTTAGTTTGGGAAGAATTTATGAAAACAAGAGCAAGGATATATATATTTGCTTGGACTGGTTGTGATTTTAGCAGACGCTCCCACAAGGTAGGAAAAGCACTCAGATGCCCTTTTCAGAGCAGGCCAAAAGCTGGTGGTCAGTGGGACCAGCATACATACAACAGCGAAAATCACATTAATCGTGTAAAAGCATGGCTAATGCAAACTTTTACCTTTCAATAAAAAGCTGTTTGTATCATTGAAAGCTCTGTTATTGTGTTTTTTTTTAAGATACAAGATGTTAATGTATGAGTTATTTTTTCTAAACTACAACCTCAGTATTCAGGTTTTATTGCAATGTTGTGACTTTGTAATAAATAAGTGGGTTTTGGGTTGCAGTTTGGGCACTCGGTCTCTAAAAGATTGCCCTATACACTCATTTCAAAGGGTGATTCCAGAGGTGATATAGAAGGGACGAAAGAGGTGATATATTGGGGATACAGAGGCAATGGCTCATCCCCTTTTCTAAAACCATGAAAGCCAGTTATGAATTTGATCATGCCTGACTAAGCAGAGAAAAGAAACACCAGGAAACATGTGAGTCCTTGGAAAATGCTCTATTTGGGCATGCATGGTGGCATGACCACTACCTGAAGAAGAATTTAATACTCTGAGGTACCTTCCAAGCACGAGAAAATAAGATAACACAGTTTGGCTACAATGGACATCATAAAGTCTAGTCTGAAAACAGTCTGGCTTTTTTTCCTGATATGGAAGAGGCTACATTCGTAAGGATAGCGCATGATTTCTTTCATGCTGCGCTGTATTATTAGTAATTCAAAAATGTTTTAAGAATTAGATTTCTACTTCTGATTTCATCACGAGATGCTCCTTGGTGTTCAGATCAGGCCTCAATAAAATGATGCAGCACTTGGGGAGGAAGATGCAGCCCAGCAGCCCGGCACTGGAGGCCAAGATGGAGAAGACCTGCATGGCCACCATGTACTTGCCCTTGGTGCTGAGATAGGAGGGCACAAAGGACACCCAGACACTGCAGAAGACCAGCATGCTGAAAGTGATCAGCTTGGCCTCATTGAAGGCGCCGGGCAGCTTCCTGGCCAGGAAAGCCACCGTGAAGCAGACGCCAGCCAGGAAGCCCATGTAGCCGAGGGCAGTGTAGAACATGGCCACAGAGCCTTCGTTGCATTGCAAGATGATGTGTCCAGGCTGGGAGTGCATGTCAGAGTCTGGGAAGGGTGGAGAGACTCCCAGCCAGATGGTACAGATAAGAGCTTGAACCCCAGAAGAGCAGAGCACAATGGCGTTGGCCAAGCTCTTTCCCAGCCACTTCCTCACCTTGTTCCCTGGCTTGGTGGCAAGGAAGGCCAGCACCACAGTGATGGTTTTGGCCAACACGGAAGAGACAGCAACTGAGAAGATGATGCTGGAGGCCGTTTGTCGGAGAAGGCAAGTGGCTCTGCTTGGCTGGCCAATGAAAAGGAAGCAGGAGGAGAAAGAGAGCAGGAGGGAGAAGAGGAGGATGTAGGAGAGGTCCCGGTTGTTGGCCTTGACTAGAGGCGTTTCCAGGTATTTAAGGAAGATGCCTAAGACACAGGCTGTGCCGGCGGAGAAGAGCAGGGCCAGGGAAGCCAGGCTGATCCCCAGAGGTTCTTCATAGGAGAGGAAAGTTATATCCTTAGGAACGCACCGATTCCGGTCCCTGTTTGGGTGTTGCTCTTCTGGACACTTGTTGCAGTGGTCTGCATCTGAGAAGAGCAAGAGGACTTCATTCCCCAGCAGAGATTATATCCTGATCCCTGGGCAGCCACACCTTCCAGTAAGGTCGACCATTGCTGAAGTCCTTACAGACCCCTTCCTGTTTGGAAGACCTTGGTGTGCTGCTCTGCATAATGTCAGATCTATAGCCGTTTTTTCCCCTTTCTCATTTTAAAGTGACTCCATGGGGAAAGCCAAACTCAGTTATCTGGTAGACCTGGCCAGAGAGCTGACTGTTCCCTAGGATCACCTGAGTGCTGATGATGTGTTTTGGTCATTCTTGCCATTGCCTGCCCAATGCCTTGTGCTTGCTTAATTTGGGACATGTCCTGACCCCTTCCCCAATTCTGTATGTTATTTTGTAATTTGGAGCTAAGCAACCCAAGGGTAGTTCCTACCACAGCATATCTCTATCTTTTCCCCCAGTCAACCAGGGAAGCAAAGTCTTTGGGGTTCCCCTTGTCTAAAGCTAGTCATTAGTCACTCCTGCTCTATTTCTTCTTTCTTTTTTCCTAAATGTATCATTTCTCTCCCAGACTCAGCTTCCTCCCAAGCACCAGTGTCCATCTCCAACTGATGGTGACCCAGTGAACGAGCCCCCTCCAAAATCGCCTGTCCCTCGCAGCCTGCCCAGTTTGTGCAAACTCAAGGCTGTGTCCTCCTTTACGGAACTGATCCATCTCATATTTGTCCTTCCTCTTCTGCCTTTGGCTTTCCTTAGCCTTGCCGTCCTCTCCAGCGAGTCTTGCTGTCTCGTGATGCAACCAAAGTACAACAGCTCTGGTTCCATCATATTTGCTTGCAGAGCAAGTTCTGGCTAGATTTAATCAAGGAGCTCTTCTTCATCTTTCCATCAGTTCCATCAATCTCAGAGCAATTCTCTGCTTTGTCTTTTCCACAGTGCAATTTTCCATTCCACCTTTGGTGGGCGCTCATCTCCTCAGACATTATCATTTCCTATCCCCGAAGAGACATATTAGAATGAGTGTGCTTGGCTTTGAGTGAGCAACACACATCCCTCCAGATGTTTTGGCCTACAATTCCCATCACCTGCATCCAGCAGAGCCAGCGGTAAGGACTCTCAGAGCTCAGAGAGCAAGGAATCCGGTGACCCACAAGTGGCTGTGCTGTGAAGTGAGGGCAAAACTGAGGTTGTCATCCTTTAGACACATCACGAAAGGAAAGTTAAAAATAGAGGCGGAAGAAGAAAAGGCAGGCCAAAGTAGGGATGGATGGATTCGTAAAGGAAGCCAGTACCTTGAATTTAGAAAAGCTGAGGGGGCTGCCATGGGATGGAGATTTGGAGAGCTTTCATTCCTAGGGTTGCCTACGTTGGAGGTGACTTGATGGCACCTGACAGCAAGAGGGCCCATTCCTTCTGCTGGGCTGTCCATGGAGTCGTTTACCTTCTTGAGCAGAGATTGTTCCTTCGGCACACGGAGCACACGCATAGCAGCAGGGGGGCTTTCCGTCCTGCTTTTTCTTGGCAGATCCTGGGTGGCAGCTTGGGCTGCACCTGGAGCGAGGCACAGGCTGGGAATAGGGAGCATCAGGGAGGAAGTGTGGGGATGCCGCCCACGAGCCGAGTCCAGAAGAGCCCTCCTGGATACCCCCATGTGAGCTGTCAAACTGCAGATGCCTGAACTGAGGTACTTTATATTTTGATCTGTGCTGTAAACAGCTTTGAAATGCTGTTCTGTGGCAAGTGGGTGAAATAGAAATTGAAAATAGATCCAGACACGGTTGACCTATAACCTTTCTCCTGATCCAGTTGATAATGCAGTTCTTGATGTGTAGTCGCAACTTGAGTTGCTTCGTGCTCTCCAGTTGCTTCATTGACTTCCCCTCTACGTGATATTTTGAGAGACATTGGGGCTGGAACCCAAGTTGATGCAGAGTCATGTTGGATCAAACCAAAGGGGAAGTCCGCACACTGGCAAACTCACCTCTCATAGGATCCCTCGAGTGGGATGGGTACAAGACCCCCTCCTGCCCAGCTCCACACCAACGGGCGTGTGGCAGGCAGGTTGCCTCTGCTGAAGGAAGGAGAACATTGCCAGCAGGGCTAGTGGCCTCTGATAACCTCCCTCACGAATCTGTCCAGTCCCACTTTTAATCCACCCACCACTTCCCATGGCAGCAAATTCCACAGCTCAACCGTGTGCTGTGCAAAGCACTCCTTCTTTTGATCGGTCCTGAATGTCCCACCCGTCAGCTTCATGAGAAGACCTCTTTGGGTTTTAGGGGTATGGGAGAGGGACAGGAATGGCCCCCTATTCACTTTCTTCATGCCAGGCACCTTTTTGTGCCCTCAGGTCTTATAGGACAGACGTTTTCCCAAACTATGATCTGCTTCAACTGCATAAAGCTCTTAGCTCTGAAGGCACAACAAACCTCTTATTTTTGGGTTGGCACTGTAATTCCTCTAGGGAGAGCTCAGGTGTATTTTTTAAATACACGTCCTGTGCATTCCCGAAACCTTTAGCAAGAGGCAAAAGGGTACTCATATTTAAGATCAAATCCCATTTCGTCCGTTCTAGAATGGGGGATAAAACTGTGGAGAATCCAAGGCACCTGCAAATGAGGGCGGTTGTGAGAGGTGGTAGGAGCCAGGGGTGCGGCTGTCTGGAGAACCCAATGGGCCAAATCTGGAATGCAGGCCCAAGGCCCTGCACCCCTGTTTCACCTGCAGCCAAAGTCCTGAGAGCTCTTAGCTACCTCAAGTCACATAAATGAAAAGCAAACCAGGTCAGTTCTCACCTTGTTAAATAGTCTGGAATACACAGTGAAGTTTCCATCGATGACGACCTCCCTGAGGAAGGAGGCCCCCCTCCGTATTCTCCCGATTGTCTCTCTATGGATGGAACCATTGGGAAACCTGGTCCAGTTCACGATATCGAAGTCAGCTGCCAGGTCACCCTTCTCATCCAAATATACGCCATCCATGGAAACATTGTAGAGCCAGAAGTTGCTCAGGAAAGGGAAAAACTCAATTAGGAAGAAGAGAAACAAAAGAAATGTCACAGAGCAAACGGGAGACTGCACGGATCATCTGAGCTCTGCCTCATTTCTGCTCCAGTACGAATTCTGCATCTTGAGTTCATGGGATTATACGCTCTGCACTTTCATAGCTCCTCTTATTTCTGAGGGATGGAGGAAATCATGCCATGAAGGGGGCTATCGGAGGGCCGTCCACTGTGGAGCAAGCCCCATGGAGTTCAGTCAGGCTTGCTTCCACAGTAAAGCATGCTGAGGAGTGTCGCCAGAATACTAAAGTAAAACTTCCGCCAAGGGGGAATGCAGAGGGGATGTTTGTTAAGGAACAGTTTTAGAAAGGAGCAGCAGCATAAAGGAAATGTCAGCTTTTACCTTTGTGCTGCAGGGCGGAGGAATACTGATTTTCTTTCCAAAACGTGTCGCAAACAGAAATTTCACAACAATTTTGCCTCAGGTTGTGAACTCCACATCAGGTGATGATCGCAGGCATCTCCCCCCCGAGTGTGCCCGTGATCACACCCAACTCCCCTCCCGAGCACGCCCGCGATCACGCCCATCATCGGTCGCGATCACAGTCACGCTCGTGCAGGGAATATGGGTGTGATCGTGGTCATGCTGGTGGGGGGAGATGGCCACGCTCATGCTCGGGGTTGGGGGGAACAAGATGGCCATGATCGTTTTTTCTTTGTCACTTTGCTTCAAATTTTTGTGATTTAAAAAAAAAACTTACATAAGTATTAACCTTGTTTACATTGAAATTTATGTGGAAATTTAACTTGGATCATGACCAATTTGGGGTGCGACCAGAGTTGTGGAATGGATTAAGTTGGTGAGCCCTGGTACCACTGTAGTTGGCAGAAGACCCCAAATATGTCAGACAGAGGTTTCTGCTTACCGGGTTTTATTCTCCTTCTCTATCCCCATCCTTCTCCGTGCAGCTGATATCCCGGTGCCCTTGCCGGAAGAGCCCATTTTGTCTCCCCTCCCCACGTCACCCTTCTTTGTTCACCACCATTTCCCCCCTCGACCTTCCAGGAAGCACAACGGAGGCCACTAAAGGAAAGCAGCCAGGAAAGAGCAGCATCGCTCCTTGGTCTCCTGCAAGGGCTGCCGTGTGCATTT